CCAGTCCTCCGCCGTCATGGCTCTCCAGGAGGCTGCTGAGGCTTACCTCGTCTCCCTCTTCGAGGACACCAACTTGGCTGCCATCCACGCCAAGCGTGTTACCATGTACGTTTGCATACCTAGTCTCGTCGCCGCCGCCGTCGTCTGACAAACATGTCTTCCCTCACAGCCAACCCAAGGATCTCGCCCTCGCTCGTCGTCTCCGTGGCGAGCGCACTTAAGCGTTAGGCTACCATATAGTGTGCATCATTGTTGGATTCACTCGCGTCGTTGTTCAAGTCTGTCGTCGATGTCGCCATTTGTCCTCTTGATGTAACCCGTCTCAGAGTATCGTTTACATATCTCTTTATCAAGACCCTCGCATGCCGTTCGCTTCCGCCTTTCTTTGTATACATATAACCCCTTGGTCGTATCCCTAAGCTTATGCCCACTCGCGTGTGTGAAGTCGCTCTTGATTATAAGCACCCTCATTCTAAGCAAGATGCAACATTCTATATTCAAGTTACAACCTACAGAGGGCAACCCTATATCTCAGCTATTCAACGTCGGTTCAACGACGACCTTCCAATCTGGCTGATGCTCCTGATACTCCCAACCAGCCCTCCGCTCGAAGCTCGCAAACGCCAAGTCGTATCCACCAAATTCGTAATTAATCTTGTCCACGCGCTTGTAGTTGAATCCAAGTGCTTTAGCACTCAGAGCTTTGAAGAAGGTGCGTTGAGCTGTCTCGATAGGTGAATCATCCGCGTTGGAAGAGACGAAGAGTGTCAAGGTGAGGTGTCCCGGTTGGAAGATGTTGACGACCCGCTGGATGAGGGTCTCTAGGTCGGGCATTTTGTCGGAAGATGCTGATGGAACGGCCGAGGAGGAACGAGTCAGAAGGGGGATGTTACACTCGAAGCTGGCGTAACTCCATCCTTCTTCAGGCGTGACATGGATGGTGTAGTAACCCTCCCCTTGGTCGTGTCGGACTAGGCCGTTCGCGGAATAACCACACGGCTCGAATGCGAACGCGTCTAGGGTCGTTTGAGACTCTGGGAAGAGGTCCGTGATGCCGACCTCTTTGGAGAGTGCCTGGCCTCGAATGTGGTGTGGCGAGGCTGGGGCGTCCGAGCCAGCGGCCGGCGGTGGAGAGTCCGGGAAGAAGAACGGTCGACGGCCTGGAGCGGATAGCCTCGACATGAGGATTTCCAGCGTAAAGTCTTGCGGGAGTGGAGGGGCTGACAATGCCGCAAGCTCGTCCTTCACGGGTTCTACTGGGCTCAGCAAGTCGTCCTCGTCAGGCGGCGCGGTGACATAGCAAAGCCAATGATCCCGATTGACGCTTCCAACAGTATACGCAGCTCCGATTCCTCGATGGCCTCTCTCATGACCCGGTCCGAAGAGCTTGTCGAGGAACGACACCTCTTCCGTCCATTCCCGGTGTGGTCCTTGCTGTCGTTCGGGGAACATGAAGGATTTCCTGGAATACCAGAGTCGGTGGACCGACGTTAGCAAGGGAGGTGGCGCTGCAGCGATGGAAAGGATCTTGGGCAATCCTAGGAGGTTGAGCGTCGTGCCACAGGTTTTGAGGATGAGCTTGTGCGGCGAGACGAAGAGGGAGGACTCGCTGTAAGAAAAGCCTCTTGAGAACATGCACCATTTCAGGTGAGCATTCCAGAGCCTTGCCTAAGCAGATATGCATCCATCTCGGCGCCCTCGATGACGCTGAGGACCTTGCATTTGACGATGTCCAGCATCTCCTCCCACACCTCTCTCTTGACTCTCCTGAGCCCGCTCCTCTTCACGCCGATTTTCTCGTCGAGCTCATCGTCATCGGCAGCGACATCTTCGGCAGATGGAGCGAACCAGACTTCGAGCAGCTTCTCGGGGCCCTCGAAAGGGGAGACGTTGAGCGCGGCAGCGTCTTCTTGAGGCACGTCGGAGATGACTTCGGCTTGAGTCATGGCCACGATTTGACTACTCTGTCGGCGTCAGACCACAAACAGAGATAGTAACGCCCGTCGATATCAGAGGCGAGATAGCTTCTTGTGGTGTGGGAGTAACCTTTCCCATTCAAAAGCGGGGAGGCTCGACTCAGAATGTTTGTTTGTTCCCAGTTCTCCGCCGTCTTGCACACCTTCTTACCCCTTCCCGCTTTATGCTCTTCAACGAGAAGCATCCGGGAGCTATTAAATTGTGGCTAATGGCGTGGAAGTGAACTTTCGTCAGGCCCATAGTGGCTCGATCCGCTCCGCTTGGTTAAAGGCTTAATCGCGAGAACCGTGACGATCCATGACGTCGTTGGCGTAAGTCTTACCCTCCAATCGTCCATATAAAGAGGGCATTTACTTGCATCACTGGATCCTAACAACACTTCTCTTCACCCAGCTCGATAAATCGTTGAAACAAAATGTCTAGCACCGACCAATACACCACCAAGTCCGACTCCACAAGGGAGGTCACTCCTCAACAGAAGATCGACGACTTGAACGATATCCTCAAGCAGACGAAGTATGCTATGCGTACGTTTTGCTCTAAAGGCCGCGTCTTGCCTAATGCTGACCGGTTGCCATCTGTTAGTTACAACCCGAGACGCTCAAGGTTGCATGCACTCGCGTTGCATGGCTCTTGCCTCTCGTAGGTCCCCTTCCCCTCGATGTAGTTCGTCATTTTGATCCACGCTATCTTTCAGATGATGGTCTCCACTTCTCCTTTATCAGCGACAACACGTCGCACAAGCAGGATGAGCTCAACACCGTCGATGACGTGAACGTCGCCTTCCTGGACCCATCCTCCACAAACTGGGTCTCCGTTTGCGGCAAGGCAAAGACTCATCAAAACCGCGAGCAAATTGACAAGCTCTGGAACCCTATGGTCTCAGCTTGGTTCGGGGATTTGGGCGACGGCGTTCACAAGGGTAACAAAGAAGATCCACGGGTGTGCATCATTGAAGTGGTTCCGGATTCGGTAAGCCTTCGAATGCGTGCAAAGGCCAGCGGGCGGACGCTTCACTCTGCAACTCGTCCTCTTTGACTTAGATTCGATACTGGATGTCCACCAAGAGCAAGTTGGGTCAACGTGTCGACATAATGGCTTCGGCCGTTACGGGAAAGGTGGCGTCGCCGGGAGAGCTTCGCACGATCACCAAGGATGAGGTAAGAAACTCGCTTGCCGTGATTCAGAGGAGACAGTAATCATTTGATGTCGTTTCAGGTCCGAATCATCGAAGGACTTAACACTGTATAGGCTCCGGGGGTTGAATATCTCATCTGTTCTTTGTACCGTTTCTCGTCATCAATGTGATTCCATTGAATAATGTTTTGGGTGCCGTCGTGGAACCGAGGAGCGGACATCTTGACTCATTCGAACCCAGCTTAATGCTGTAAGGGTGGTGGCGGGAACCCCAGAAACGGCAGGGGAACCAAAGCGGAGAACGAATCCTGACAGAGCTTCCCAGGCAAAGGCGCCGCATGGACAACAACCTCCGTTATTCCAGTAACCACCCGTTCAACACGAACTGTACATAACTTTCACCCGAGACTGGTTTAGAAGCCACCACCTTCGGTTGAACTTGTATATATACCCCCAAACCCAAGGACAACAGCCGGAAATGGTGTCGCTCTCCGCCCTCTCCTTCCTCACCCAGAAGATTGTCCACAGCAAGACAGGTCACGTATTCTTGCTGTACTGCTCGCTGCAGGACGAAAGCACGCTCCGGATGGACCTGACCATTGCTGGGCCGACCCAGTCCGAGAGCGTGCAGGACTTCGATACGCAACTGTTGGGCAGGTGGTGGAGCAATGCGTGGCCGGAGGATGAACTCACCAAGTTGTTGGTAAGAGTTCCTGTTATTGAAGCTTGCATTATCTCGTGTGTAATGACAGCTGCATAGGCGGTCGATTTGCTTGTAGCGAACATCGTCAAAGGAGAACTCCATGTCCGGGGCTGGAGCGAGAGCAAGGCCCGAAGAGAGAATCTCGAGCTTAAGGTGGCCTTGGCATTCATCATGTGCCTAGCCGCGTCGTTGATGATATTGTTGACTCCCGCAGCTAGTTGTTGATCCAAAGAGCGAGAGTCGGGCATTGTTCACGTTGCCAGAATGCTCTCCCATAGAAGCCCTGTTGCAACACAAGATTCTTCTGGACGGAGTGAGTATATTCGCTCGTCGGTATAAACAGCCTCCATTGAACTAGCTGTGTGCCCAGATAACCGAGAAGTCACAGGCTCAAAACTGCCGTATCTTCCCGGAAACCGCCATTGGCTTGCGCGAAGACCTCGCTGAGCTCCGTATGTGTCATATGCCCGCCATCCAAGCATTCTGCCTTTGTCTGACACATGATCGTGAACTTCAGAGGCCGAAGTGTCATCCGCAAACCGCCAGCTCAAGAAGCGGGATGTACGTAAAATAGCGAGCTGTGCGCGGTGCCGTTCGATTCACGAACTTCGTGCCCCTTGCAGCGAGTGATCGAAGAGCTCAAAGCGCAACTCGAGACGTCGAACGAGCAGCTGAAGGAGTACGTCCGAGAGGCAGCCCCAGCAAGTACGTCCATCCATGGCCGCCGCCAATGATGTGAACGCGCCAGCTTAGTGCTTTCCCTCGTCCGTACTCATCTACAGGACCGGCTCATCCGCAGCCCAAGATTCCGCCTAACCACTCGAAAGCGGCCGTCACAAAGAAGAGGAGACTCGTACAGAAAGTTGAGTACGAGGACTAGCTTTAAATGTGGGAGGGGATTTGTGAAGGTGTAATGAAGTGGAGGGCAAGATGATCCGGAGGAGGGTCGGCTATTCATTTCATTTTTTAAGTCCCTCACAACGCATTTGGTTGTATCCGATGATTGCCTTCCTCAACCCCCACAGATACCCGCGTTTGTGAAGAGCTAAAGAGAAGGAAAACCTATAATTTTTCTCGTCTGGATGTGGCACTCTGCGTGAATCGACACGAGGGACGTTTTAGCAAAAACGGTCCAGAACCTCTCGAAGATTGCGGGCTCTGGCACTACAGGGTTGAGAAATCTGCCGGAGAGGACGAATTGAACGTCCGTCTTTGCCGTAATAGGGCAATATGCTCACCCACTACACCATCGCCGACAGGAGCTTTTCTTGTGCGGAATTCCTCAAAATGTAGTCTTCATGCCACAAGCCTCGACCCCCGGGATCTGGGCGCGTTTCCAATCGACACGGAAATTAAACGGTAGTCCAACGCCATACCGTGGATGATCGAGAATAGGAGTGGACCCCTCGATTGTCTACATGCGAAAAACCTTGATTCGGAACGCCCCGAACCGTGAATAGTTCTTCAGAGCGGAATCGAAATATGAATACAAGAAATGAGTCCTGCATTTCTGACAGAGGTACCTTTTACAATCATGTTCGAGAGCAATGGGGCACCTTGACAAGGGCTTTTCTTCATGGCAAGAATCTGTCCGACCCGAATCAATGCGACGGTTTGGGAATAGCGACTCGGAGGTCCCGAAACATGCTACGCTGCACCAGAATGCCACGAGGGCCGGATCAGTCGAGCGCCAACAAGATATCATCATCTAATTCCATGCCCAAGGGCCGGTGCACCATTTACAAAGGGTCGATTGTACTCATCAGCGGGACCAGCCCATCTGTAACCCAAGATTGTGACTAACCACTCGAAGCGGCTGTTACAATAGGGAAAAGCGCCCGTGCTGTATGTTGAGTACAAGAGCTAGCTTCAAAGGTGGGATGGAAAACATGGTAATGATCAGTGGCCGACAGTTCATTTCAAATTCGGTTACATCCGACGAGAAACTTCCCGCACCCCACGAAACCCTCATTCGACAAAGAAGAATGACGCCCACAGTCTCTCGTCTATATGCAGTACTATGCATGAATTGGCACAAGAACTCGGCGACCAAAAGATCCAGACCCTCCCGACGGTTTGCTTCGCTGGCACCACGGGATCGGACAAATACTGTACTGGTCATAAATATAGCAACGTGTCACGTCACGGTAAAAAAATCTGACACCGGATTTGAGCGTTTCTCGCCAGGGCAAGCTCATTGCCGCCAGGGTCCCTCGTGAGACCGTTGCTACATTTATGACCAGTACAGTACTGCCCGGCGAGGACGATTCGAACGTCCGCTCTTTGCCTTAACGTGACAACGTGCTTACCAACTACACCATCGCCGGGTTTCGTCGAAATATGACCCTCATGTCATAGGCCTCGAGCCGCCAGGTTTCTGAGCACTTGCCTAACCCAAGTATGGAGTAACATGATAGTTCCAACCGCCATTATTGCCGGGATTGTGTAAGAGTCGACCGACCGACCGACCGTACACAGGAGCGCCTGAAGCAGAGAGCGGTCCGTTTGAAATATTAATTCCCTGTACATAAGACGTTTCTTAAAATTCCGTATTTCTGGCAGTGGCACGTTCTACACTCGTACTCAAGATCAAGAGGGTGCACCGTGGCTAGGGCTTTTATTCCTGGGGAGCAGACACCCCACCTAAATTGGTGGCATGGCATGCGAATAGCGAGGTTCGAAACCATCCAAATGTTACGCCCCGCCAGAATAGCTCATTCACTACGAACAATCTAAAGAATATCTGAGCCAGCGAGAACCGGTCTGGCGCCAATACTTAATAAAAGTCATAAGCAAAATGTAATGCCCAACGGGGTAGAGCGGCTGTACATGGTGCAGTAGAACTAAAACTAGCACCAAATAGCAATAGGGAGATCGAATGCCATTTGATTCTCAAAATGGAGCAATATGCCGACCAGGACGACTCGAACGTCCAGTGCAGCAGCTAAAAAGCAGTGTGTTACCCGTTACACCACAGCCGACAAAGTAAATTGCAGTTAACTTGAGCTCCATGCAACATAAACGCTGGCGGGGCAACTGGTTGAATTCCCGAGCGTGTACGAGTGGTGACAGACTCGACACGCTGTCCTTTACTGCTTAGTCGGTACGTTCTCTTGAGTAGAACAAACCTCGGTGATCTTGTGCGCGACCCAAGATCTTCACTGATTCGATTTCGTGGAAGGGATCGAAAACGACTTCCTCCCTTTCGGCTCTTGAGAACACTACACTCAAAGTCTTGAGGAGGAGATAAATACGGCTTGATATTATGCCCCCTCATATAGTTTAGAGGTGAGATCATAGGTTAGAGATGAGATATGCCAGCCAGGGGGGGGGAGGGGACATGCCTGGAAGTGAGGAATATGATAACTGCTGTTAAGGTCTTGAGAAGGTCCCGTTTACTACCCAATTGTCACGCCCGCCTGGACAGAATGGCCTGCGGTAATCAATATATGCACAGAGATGACTCAATTCAATGTCTGCCTCTCACATCCCCAGGGAACATGAGAACGATGCATTACGTCGCGGTTCTGAAAAGGATCGATCTTCCCTTGCGCAGACTGTTCCGTCTCAAACAATCGGAGGTAATGTATGCCAGCGGCAGCGGATCTAACCTCCATCTTTGCTTTCTGCAAGGAGAAAAGCTCACCGACAGAACGGACGAAAGCGTTGAGCCTAACCAACTCGGGAGTTGCAATTTACCAAGGAGGAACACGGGAGATCTACAATCATTAAAATTGAAATCAATAGACTGTCGGATTTGCCTTGGGGCACCTAAGGGCTGGTGCTGCAATATATGCCGACCAGAGCGACTCGAACGCCCAGTTTTGCCGTATAGGAGCAATGTGTTACCCGTTACACCATAGCCGACAAAAAATCTTAATTGATTTACGTGCAGTAGTAGTGCAACTAGTGTACCGCCAGCCACTACCGTTTCAGATAGCTCCTAACCGACCAACGAGGTATGCTAGGTCGGAGCACTGGTCAAGCTAGGAGGAAGCCATCTATTGAGGTAAAGCTATCGCAAAACCTTCGGCGTCACAACTGATTCGGTACCGACGGAGTCGTGTATCATCTGCAAGGGAAGAATTTACCGGGCTTACAAGTAGAAGTTCGTTTGGTATCATATACAAGCATGATTGCCGTTCAGGTATGACAATTGAACGCCCGGCGTTACAGCTAAAGAGCAATATTTTACTCGTTGCACCGCAACCGGCCAATTGGATTGAGATAGCCTTACGTTCCAAGGTACCGTGTGCCCTCCCAGAGCATCTAGCTTGGGCTCGCATCCTGAATGCTGGCAGATGCAAGAATCTATCCGTTTCAACCTGGCAACTGTCACGTCTGCCTGAACAGGATGACTTATGGCGATCACATATGCAACCTGAAATGGTTTTGTCCCACGAAAGGCATTCCCGGAGATGATCCAGATAAATGTTTGCCTCTCACGTCCCCAGATCGTGGTGCAGTCCGGTCGCAGCCCTCAGAAGGATGCGTTCCCCGGGCGTATGCCGCTCCGTACTGCCACCTAAGATGGTCTCAAAGCGAGATGTGCCAGCGAGGGTGGACCGAACTTCCAGCTTGGTTACCTGAGAGGGATAAATCTGCCCACAACGCCGACACTGACAAAAACGATGGGCTAAACGTTAACGTTTAAACCACATCGGTGATGACAGAAAGAGTTGGCTCTAGAAGTATAAAAACGGACAGCAACGGTGTCTTGGGGCAAATATAACACTGCTTGACACCTGAGTGTTGCAATAAACATGCCGGCCAGGGCGAGTCGAACGCCCAGCTTTGTAATCAAAATTCAACGTGTTACCTGTTACACCATAGCCGACAGAGAAACTCTACTCGTTAGCGCAAATTGATTGGACGACTAATTCGGTTTGTGGGTGTTCTTGTATATGTGATATGCTACGTCGCAGGATGTCGACTTAAACCACTTTGCCAGGGGTCATCTTGGATGTAATGGAAAAGTTTCCAAGGCAGACCTTCTCGGAGAATAATCGTTTCAATGTTTGTCCTCATTCCGATGGCCACAATAAGCACTGTAGTCCAAAGTCTAAAATGACATCGGCCCAATGCTGCGTTCAACCAGAAGCTGTAGTCGGCACGACACGCCGGCCAGGACGGCTCGAACGCCCAGCTTTACCACACAACAGAGCGATGTACTTCCCTGTTTACCATAGCCGGCAAGGGATCGTTGGTCGAACTGCAGGAACCACTTCATATTATTCAATTACACCCCGACTGCTCAATTTAATGTCTACCTCTCACATCCCCAGGGAACGCGAGAAGTACAGTCGCAGTTCTGAGAGGGATAAGTTTCCCCTTGCGCATACTGCTCCGTCTCAAACGGTCGGAGGTGATGTGTGCCAGCGTCGGCGGACTTAACCTCCAGCTTTGCCATCTGCATCGACACGAACAAAAGCGTTGGGCTAAACCAATTCGGGAATTTGCTATTTATAAGGAAGGAACATGCGAGATCTAAATTGCAATCAATAGGCTCTCGGATTTAATCCAATTCGTTTGACACCTAGGAGCCGGCGCTGCAATATATGCCGACCAGAGCGACTCGAACGCTCAGTTTTGCCGTACAGCGGCAATGTGTTACCCGTTACACTATAGCCGACAAAAATACTTCACGTACTTTACGCGCGGCAGTAGTGTAACTAGCGTACCGTTTACCACTACCACCTTCAATAGCTCTCCAGTGAGGACAGGTCAAGCCTCCGACTTTACCAAGCGGGAGCTATCTATTTAGGTATAGCCACCGCAAAAGCGCCGATACAGAAACTAGCCTAGTGCCGACTGATCCACTGCGCAAGGGAATAGTTAACAAGTAGACATTTTATATAAGTACAATGTGCCGTCCAGGTCGCCCAGCGTTACAGCTGAGGAGCAAGTTTACTCGTTGCACCATAGCCGGTCGATTGGACGGCCAGAAATGACTTGAACGTGGTGCATGGATCTAGCAAGACCAACTTGAAATTTTAACTACAGGGCAGTTGTTGACAGAGTCTTTTGTATGCGTGCGTTGTCCCTTTTTCGGTCCCTGGGAGGGTTCCGAGATAGCAATGATCGTCAGGGCACCGGTAAATCCAAAGATACAGGATAAGAATGTCCTAGAGAGGTACTCCGAGTCCTTCTTTCGAGAGTGGGCACGAACGCCGCCTTAATGCTTAACTAGCCAGTCTGCTGACGACAAGGTCTTTGGATGGAATCAACCTATCTCAATTCAGGTTCACTCCGCTATGGGGAGTAGACAGAGTAATCGATGGATATGTGTAGTCATTTTTAAAGCGGTCTGATCTAATGAGAACCCTCACGAGTCCCGTGGAACTCCGAATACCCCCGAAGAAATCGTCTGAGCTCCCTCCAATTCGTTCGCTAATTAAAATTTAGACTTTAAGTAGGCATGTTCTTTTTTTCTGCGAGTACTGAGAACTTACGAGGAATCCTTCCTTCGCCAGCATTCCTCTCGAACTCTATCTCCGAAGTCGCGTTGGGGTGAACTGGTCGATCATACGTGTCCTCTTCTGCGGAGGTTTTCACTCGAGTCTTTGGTATTTGACTCTTTTGGTGGTGTGGGTCATATGGGTCGGTCTCTCCGTAGGAACCGCCGGAAACCGCTTTCAGGAAATTCGAGGTCAGCCCCAAATCAGCGACAGAACACGACAAGCGAAGTGACATACTGCCTCCTTGCGGTTGCTGGTTCCCGGATCTTCCTGCAGCATCTTGAGGGGTCATAGCTGGCCGAGAAAGAAGTCAGCGTGTTTGATGATTCGCCGAAGGGATCGAGCTCACTGTTGTCGACGAGGCTGCCAGGAAATGCTTCGTTAGGCTGAACGTTCGTATATTCGTCGCTCATGATGATGATGATGATGAAAGGGCTTAGTTTTGATTGTAGACGTGACGCTGAATTTTCAGCTAGGCTGATCGTGAAGGTCTCCCGACCTTTATACATTCATGGTGTCGGCTAAAAGAAGTTGACGTGACGTCATCGGCCGACTCCAGTAAGGACCCGCTGTCATGTGGACCTTGTAAAAGCCGAGTTTCGGTGGATTTTGAACACGTTATTCATCATTTGTACCAATAAGAGAAGGGACTAATACACCAACGGCGACGTCACGAGGAACACGAGGAACCATGGATGCACGTCAACCAAGTCAAAACAGCTCCAAAGCCCCTCAGCTACGTTACCACATGCTTCGATGACACCCAAGCCATGTTATGCGCCGACCTCGTCGGAGGAGACGGTGTCTCTCTGGTTGAACGCGTCCTCCGGAACCCCAGAAGAAGTCATCTCGGCCGCAGCTTTCTGATT